TGAAAGCCCAATATTTTAAAAGGGCTAAGTAAGGAAAAAAAAACCCGTTCGATGTGTAATCTAAAGCTATTTATTAATAAATAAAATATAGTCATGAGTCAAAGGTAAGTTGACTTGTGTTGTATGGCGAGCATGTTTTATTTATTTATTTATTGTCTATTGCTAGGATATTCATGTTAGAGTGATTGTTCCTATTGGTGCAAATGTACTCAACTTTTGCTGATTCGTACGTTGTTGTTTGTGTTTGGCTTTTCTTTGGGTTGGCTCTACTATGATTCATTTTAATGGCGAGTAGTGAGGTTGAAATAAAGAGAAGTACAGGTAGAGGAAGCATATCAAGCATGATGGGATTGAGCGAAAAGGGTTATATGTTTCTTTGCTTTGTTTCTTATTGTATTAGATTATTTATGAAATTGTTGACACTAACATATAATTATTGTTTTAATATTTTAGATTGGTTTTAAAGGGCCTTTCATGGTTCCAAGTTATGTTTAATGTAAGTTGGTTTTAAAGTTTGAGTTTGGTTTTATTAAACTTTATTTCGTTTGAGTTTTTTAAAAGTTAGTCTTCCATTGTGTGACTTTGAAAAGCCTTAGCCGTTATCACGGTGGAGGTAATATTTTGGTTATTTCCTAAGTTTGTATTTTATTGTAGAAAAAAGGGTATTTTAAAAGAAGAAAATTTTCCAGAGTATTACACATGAACTGCCACACATAACTTGTCATCTAGTTTACTTAATATAGTAACCATACAGGTGTAGGTTAGTGTTTATTTTGTTATGCTTTAGTCCATTTTGTATTCTAGTTATGTGTATTTTGTTGTTTTGACCATGTCAATGTGTAGGCAGTCATGTTGGAACAATTTTGACATGAAACACTATGTGTAATTTCAAGTTGTTTTGCAATTATGTTAATCAATGTTTTTTATTTGTGTATTTAATCCATTTGTAGACTTACTTTGTAGACTTACATGCAACATAGTCACACACATAAAACACTTACCTTTAAATCCATCAAAAAGCTTTTTTTTTCATCCTAATTGCATAAGTTGGTACCTTAACAACAACTTACAAATAAAGTTGTTGGAACAATACAGCCTTAGCAATTACCTTGTCAAATGAGTCCTTTCATCATTTGGATTTTTTATAGAGTATCATGAACATAGGGGATTCATTGCTTGCTATAAGCAAAACATTGACATTTGGGACTCAAACAAGGCCATAGTTGCAACCAAGTATAGGTTCTCTCAAAAAGTGTCATTGAGAGCACATATGGGACTCGACTAAACAAACAATTGTAGTCATCATCCATCAACACATCATTCGTCTTGCCATCATATGCAGAAATAAGGAAAGAGTATCATGAACAACAACTAGAATCATGAACCAACACCAACAAGGATGAACAACCAACAACAACCAAGATGGGCCCAACAACAATAAGGATCAACAACCATCAACAACAACAACAACAATCACCAACAAACAACAACAACAACTAGGAATAACCATGAGCCAATAACAAACAGGATCCAACATGAAATAGGATCAAAAACATCCAACCAAAGGGAGTCTAAGCTTTTGAACTAAATACAGTAACAATAATATCACATCCAAAATCAGTCAACCAAGGATATAACAGGGACTTTGATCAATAAATTCTTGAATTTAGACACATAAATACCACAACAATTTAGAAATTAAAGGATTATTAATAGTTACGCTACTAGGTCAGTAATATCCAAAGTACTCAGGGTGAAACTCCCTCAGATAACCCAGGGTTAATTTGGTCCTCTTCAATTGGGTAACTAAATCTAACCCTCTTTGTTCCTGAAGAAGGGCACTCAGTCTGCTATTTAAGAGGGAGGTCCTTCACTTCCTCAGGATATGAGTCAGCAGTATCATCAATAAGAGGGGTTGTTTTCCCTAGATCTGAACCACCCGCATCATGAACAACAACCACATAACCCTCAACGCCAGGGGGGTTCTTCCCCTTAACATCCTTAGCACCACCATTTCCTTTGGAAACAACGATCGCAACAACTTCCTCAACCGGATCTGATTTTTGAATAAGCTCATCATCATCAGAAAGCTCAACAACCTCCACATCCCTACCCCGCATCCTTTGCCGAGCCCTAAACGCAGCAGTTCGCATTGGTTTCATGGCCCTAGTACCCTTAACACATTTGTACCTTGTGTATGAAGAAGAACCTTGTGTTTTTGTCGAAGTAGCGGAAATTGCCTCATAAGAGATTAGATCTGAGGTGTTTTTCTTACCCAAATTCTTTTTTGGGGTTTTTTCTTTTGGAGGACTCATTAAAGGACGATTTTCAGAGAGAAAAAGGAAGATATGAGGAGAGACATAAATTTGAATACAAAAGAGAAGTGAGAGGGGGACTAAGTTTTTTTAGGGTTTGAAATGTAGAGAAGAAACTTGTTTTAGAGAAGCTCCATGGCGTAAATGCAAGTGGTTGGGGAAGAGCATTCAATGAATGCAATTGGGAAGATGAACAATCAGATCTGAATTGGAATTTGGAAAGACATATTGTTGGGGAAGTGATTCTGATTTTTTTGGTTGGAATGATTATGTTGATTTGTTAGATGACTATTCAATGGCTACATAAAAATTGTGGCCACTGTATAAGTTTTCAATCTAGACCCATTATCGGTTAGGAGGAGATCTCATCCATTCATTTAATTAACCCTATTTTAAAAAATAAAAATTCCAAAGTAAAAAAAAAAATCTTATCAAAAACTACTTTGTCCCAAAAAAAAAAAAAAAATGCTTCTCCATTATTGTCGTACTAAATTAACGTCGTGACATACTCCATATAAGTTTCGATTTTGCAGGTGGTTTCCAACGAACCTTTCTTTCCATAGGAGATTGGTTACTTTCCATACACAATATAATCTCATTGGGAGTTCTAATTATATAATCGAATACAATACGAAATAAACTATACTCGGTTGCGTTAGATTACAATTTATGGAAGAAAGGTACAAAGAAGATGATTAATGGTGAAATTTAGCGGATGAAGTTTTGTTTTTGTTGTAAATGGCCTTTGATTCTTTAAAGACAAATTCATGGTATTTGGAGTAGTAGATGATTCGGTAATGTAGAGAGGAAAAAGATAAAACAAATAATTTTTAATTTAATGACAAATAAAAAATTTTGTTAAGTCAACTCAATGAATGATGTTGATTCGATATTGGCAAATGTACGGTAATGATTTAAAAATTACAATGGCTACAAAATTTATGTAGCCATTGTAAAATTGTCCTTGTTAGATTAGGCCATTTAATGATTTCTGATTAGGTGTATAGTTAATTGTTAATGATTTTTAAGTAAGGGTATTTTGGTGTTTTTGCCTGAAAAAACTTATCATTTTTGGATTTTTTTTGTTGAGATTAATGCTTAGCACCCATTTATTATAGTACATGTTGCGATTAATATTTAACGGATGGTTTATATAAGCCAAGGGGGGGAGGAAGAATACAAAGTTGGTGTCCAACTTTTGACTCCCTAAATTGTCCCTAAAAAACATTTTAAAAATAGTAATAAAGAAATTACAATATTCTATACAATAATGTCAGTTTCCTAAATTTAATCACAATTTAGAATCTTCCAAAAATTTTAAAAAATAAAAATTGGCTTAAAGAGACACTCAACATATTAGGAGAATCAAATAAAATAAAATAATCACTACTAATAATGGCTGTGTAAAATAATATTAACCTCTATGCAATCGAGAATCTTCCTAAAATATTAACTAAGAACCTCAAAAAATTAGATTACAAATAAATGAGAGGGCTTTAAACTTCAAAAACAAGCTTGAAATGCATTAAACAAGACGCCAGAGTTGTAAAAGCAATTGTACTTATGGAAAGACATCAAACTCATAATATCAGCTTTGTGGAATACGTCTTTACTACATCAACGCCGCACGCATCGCGTGTATATCTTCCAATTAACTTTATCTTATGTGACAACCTTACCACCTTTTTTTTATAGGAAGAGAATCATATCTTCTAATTAACTTTATCTTATTGCTAACTATGAGAGTATGTTAACAAACCTCATTTTATTGTTGTCCATAAATTTTACACGTTGTTCACATTACACGGTTCGTACCTCATCAAAACAAGTAAACAACCTTTTTCTCACATAATATTACCCAATCACAAAATGAACTTCGATTACCCTATCTTCAAGATTTCATGTACATGTAACATACCACAAAAACGGACGTTTTAGGAAACTAAGCTTCCCGAAGAAAATAATTACAAATTTGGTTGCGTGGCAAAAGTATTTACAAAAATAAGCTTCTGGAGTAAACCGCTGCCTCGGACAGCGTTTTACCCTCTATTTTTTTTTAAAAAAATTCTGCTACAAAAACGCTGCCCCAGGCAGCGTTTTTATAGTTTGAATTTTTTTTTCCTCGTTTATTTTTTTTTAAAATTAATTAAAAAAAAAGGCAACAGCATAAAACGCTGCCCCAGGCAGCGTCTTATCTTGTTAATGAAACGCTGCCCCACGCAGCGTTTCTGTCTGGTTGTACGCCAAGGAGAAAGCTGTAGCAGAGATATTTGGGGATTGGGAGAGTTCTTACGAGAGACTTCCACAATTCATGCAGGCACTCCAACGATCAAACCCGGGTACGTGTGTCGTGTGGATATACAAAGCCTTGGTGGACGGTGTATACTACAGTAACTTGGAGGTGTTTGAACGAGTGTTCTGGGCATTCGGTCCTTGTATTGACGGTTTTAAACTTTGCATGCCTGTGATCTGCATCGATGGGACGCACCTCTACGGGAAGTACAAGGGAAACACTGTTGGTGGCTGCAAGACGCAAGCTTTCAGGTATTTCCACTAGCATTCGCGGTGGTGGAAGGGGAAAACACTTCTAGCTGGTCTTGGTTTCTGGGTTGCATTCGGGTTCATGTCACGCAAAGAGATGGGTTGTGCATTATATCTGATCGACATCCAGGCATAATTGCAGCAATGAGTGATCCTAACGTTGGATTCACTGAGTCGCGAGCCTGTCATAGGTTTTGTGTTCGCCACATAGCGTCTAACTTGAGGACACACGTGCGAAGCAACGAGATGAGAGATGCGTTCAAGGGTGCGGCTTACCAAAGGCAAGAAAGAAAACTCCACACTGATTTGTGTTTCATCGGTCAGGAGTGTCCCAAGGCCATGGAGTACATTGTTCAAGTCCCTTTCAGTGCCTGGTCTCTCTTTCACGATGCAGGTCGCCGATTTGGGATATGTACTACTAACTTCTCTGAAACTTTTAACAATGTGCTTAAAGGAGCCCGGTTTCTACCGATCATGTCTCTTGTCGAGTTAACTTTCTACAGGGTTAACAAGTACTTCACGCTTAGAAGGGAGTCTTCTGAGACGAGGTATGAACTAGGACTTCCATACCCCCCCAAGGTCATTGCCATTCTTGAGAAGAACACTGCAACTGCAAGATATCACAGGGTCGAAGCATATAATCGCCGATTGCATATTTACCAGGTCACAACTGAAAAGGGGGAGCGATTTGGTTGCAAGGGAGGTCATAAGCATACGGTTAACTTTCAACTTCTGACGTGTACGTGCAACAAACCGAAGATATTCCATCTCCCATGTTCTCACGTTCTAGCCGTTTGTGCGACGTACTCATTGTCAGAGCGTCCATGGGTAGACCCTTCGCTTCAATCAAAGGCCTACACCGACACGTATGCAGCCCAATTATGGCCTATCCCCTGTGAGACAACTTGGGAGCAGTACGTCGGCCCGAAGATCATTGCCGACAGCAGCATGGTTCGTGGGAGAGGGCGACCGAGGTCAAAACGCATACGCAACGAAATGGATGAGACTAACCGGCCACCCACCAGATGTAGCAGATGCCATCAGCAAGGTCACAACAGGACAACGTGTCCAGCCAGAACGACGTAGAACATTACTTTTGAGTTGTTATTTGGTTTGCTGTAACAGATAAAACAATAACATTTGCTGTAACAGATAATACTTGTTAAATCATATTTGTGTTTAATCTATACCGTAGTCAGTGAACAGATACCATGGACAGAGAGGTGCATTTGCCCGGACCGCTTGACCCTTCCGTGCTTACACTCCAGGCCACGCACCGGAGCACTGCCGTATGGGGTTGGAGGTGGTGGAAGGAGGTTGGGGGTGGTGTTGGAAGGATGTTGAGGGTTGGGGCAAGAAACTGGTTTGGTGCTGCCAACCAGGTAAAACGCTGCCTGGGGCAGCGTTTTATGCTGTTGCCTTTTTTTTTAATTAATTTTAAAAAAAAATAAACGAGGAAAAAAAAAAAGTCAAACTATAAAAACGCTGCCTGGGGCAGCGTTTTTGTAGCAGAATTTTTTTTTTAAAAAAATAGAGGGTAAAACGCTGCCCGAGGCAGCGGTTTACCCCAGAAGCTTATTTTTGTAAATACTTTTGCCACGCAACCAAATTTGTAATTATTTTCTTCAGGAAGCTTAGTTTCCTAAAACGTCCCACAAAAACAGTACATGACCCAACAACAACCAGCATTAGCAGACTAGCAGTACCACATTCAGTTATTCCATGGCCTCATTCTTATTCACTATCCCTCCTACTTCTACTGCATCATTCTTCCCCAAAATCACACCCATTTCAAACCCAAACCCAATTTCCAAAATCACAAAACTTTTGGGACAATCCCATTATTATTCAACTCCCAGAATTACTCCTTCCATAACAGCATTATCAGCAAGCTCAGCAATGGCTTCTACTGTTGAAAAGCCTGAAACTTTAAAGAGTAAAGTTGTTCCTGCCATTATTGTTGGTGGTGGAAGAGTTGGTAGAGCTTTACAAGACATGGGTAATGGTGATGATTTGTTGATTAAAAGAGGGGATTTTGTGCCTCTTGATTTTGATGGCCCCATTTTAGTTTGTACTAGAAATGATGATCTTGAGGGTGTTCTTCAAGTTACTCCTCAATCTCGTTGGAAAGGTTAGGGTTCTAACCTTCATTCATTTTTTCATTGTGCCTTTTGATTTATTATAATGCTGATTTATGTGATTAAGTTTCAGTAATTATTATAAGGTTTATTTATAAATTTCTAATATTTGAAAGGGTTTTTATTAGGGTAATTTAATCCTGATGTCGTGCAAGATAATGCCAATGTGTTGAAAATCTTGAAACAAATTGATTTGTGTGTATGGAGTATATAATTTTGTAACAAGACGAAGTTGCGGATTTGTAAATTTATCATTGGGTTACTGGTTTTAGTTGCTAATATTTGAAGGTGTTTCATGTAATCAAATTGTTTTTCTGTGGTACATCCATCATACAGTCGTGTACAATAATGCCGTTTCGATTTTATTTTTCATGTGGAAATTCCCCTGGTGGACATGTTCCATAGTGGACTAGTATTGTTGGATAAATTTCCCCTGGTGGACATATTCCCCAGTGAACTAGTTTTGTTGGTTAAATTTCCCCTGGTGGATTATTTTTGTTGGACATTTGATTTCCGAGTTGAAGTAATTGAGCACCTGTAGACCCAAGCGGGGCGGTATCTTGAAACCACACATTGTTATACTATAGTCAAATTCAGAGCATATCGATAGGTAGTGGATCATTGGTGAAAACTGAAGAGTGTCCACATATGCAATGCATTTGAGACTTTTGAATTATTAACTACCAAGTCAGTAAGTCTAATCAACTTAATTTCTCTTTAAATTTTGTGCATAACCAAAAGCAGCGGTTAACTTGGTATGGAGGAATACTTGGTTGTACATGAAATTTGAGGGTTGGGTTTGTTAAATCAACAATTTTATATAATGGTTCTGTTCGGTGAGGAGTCAGCACAAAGACCACCAATGGTGGAATATTTTTTGGAGTATTATTTGTAGCTTATGGCTGCGTAGGAATGCTTGGGTTTACGAAGGGAAAAAAAAAAAAGATATTGGGGAGCTTTTACAAAAATCTGTGAGCTTGGTGGATGAGTATTAACATGTGATGGAAGCTAATAGCATTTGTGTGAAGGCTCCGATATTCCCCACTCACTGGTCTGCACCAAGTTTTGGGGTATTAAGGTAAATTCTGATGCTGCATTTTCAGCAATGATCATGTGGGGCTGGGGGCTGTGATGAGAGATTTAGCTGGTGATGTTGTAGCTTCTACTTGCCAGTGCGTTTGATGTTGATATTGCTGAGGCTATTGCATTGCGATATGCTTTGAGTATCACCCTTGAATCAGGTTTCAACAAGCTCTGCCTTGAAACTGACTTCCTCAAGTTATAAAACTGCTTGGTGAAATCTGATGTTAACTCTACAGCGTTTGGTTCGATTGTTATTGATATTTTGCAGCTCTCAAACTCTTGTCTTTCCTGTTCTTTTCTATTGTAAATAGGGAAGGGAACTGGGTTGCTCATAGTTTAGCATCCTTAAGTAGCAGTTATGGGATCTTAGGGTCTGAATGGAAGACCTCCCTGGTGCTCTCTTTGAGCTTGTAATGGCTGATTTAAGCCCTCCTATTGCTTAATAAATTCATTTGCTGTTCCCGTCAAAAAAAAAAAAAAAAACAAAAAAAAAAAAGTGAAAATATTCCTAAAACCTCTGTACACAATCCAACAAGGACATACACATCCTTTCCCTTGCTCATGGCCAATCTTTCATTACTTTGATGTGTTTATATAAGAATTGATGAAGAGAAGTATTTTCTCTTCTGAATTCTGTTAGGCCTTGTCTTGCTTGCCTTTTTTTTTTTTTCACATATATTAGTATATATCTCATTTACTGTTTATTTTTATTTTTATAGTAGTTATATATGAGTTTTCATAGTGATATACTGATATTGACATTAGAGAACTAACTGGTTGCCCTAATGTCAATTTTTTAGCACTGCTATAAACTACACTGTATGTACAATTAGATACATTTGAATATGCTTGGTGATATATTAAAAATTTCTGTTTCGATCATGTTGATGATGGTTGTATCCTACTCACAATCTGGCAGATTTGGTCTTTTTCCAGAATGGGATGCTGGAGCCATGGTTTCATAGTAAAGGTCTTGGTGATGCTGACCAACTTTTGGCATATTTTGCGGTGGCTAAGCTTGGTGAACCCCCAATTGATGGTAAGACAGACACTAATCCAGAAGGTCTGACAGCAGCTTTCGGCAAATGGGCTCCTGCGGTAGCAGAAAGATTACGTGCTGGAGGCCTTTCTTGTAAGGTAAACACTCTGGGTTTGCAATTTTGTGTGTGTACATTAATTATGTTGCAATTCATTTCATGCAATTTCAAAGGACCTTGCTATAGTGAACTTGTTGACCCTCTATATATATGAGAATAGATCTTGGCCATTGGATTAGAAGAGATCTAATGATTGGGAGTGGATGCATCCACTATTGAAGATAACTAGACTTTTGTTTTACAAGTTAGGACATGTTGTACATTTATTTAGGATGTATAATATGTACATACAAGAAGAAAAGAGAATGAATAATATCCAAAGCAATATAGAACATATGCAATGGAAATTTAGAACAACACACTTAAATTTTTAGAGCATGGACTCTAATGGCTTATAATAATGCTTAAAGTTATTTAAAACACAAGCTTTAACTTGAAAAATGCGAACTTATTCTATGGGTGTTTTTACTGTTCACCTGAACTTGTCTTATCTTATCTAGAATTACCCTAAACTTATTAAACTTTATTAGAACTTATTTTAGTTGTAAGTTGAACTTGAGTTTCTCTTATCAATCAGAACTTTTTTTTTTTCTTGAACTTATCTTACTAAAACTTACATTTCCCGAAATAAGTTAATATAAGGCAAATAAAACATGGACCGAAACTTCCGTACATCTAAGCTTGAGCTTTGGCTTCAATGGAGTCTACTTGAGGACTGAGGATTATTATTTTTGAGGGGAGAGACTATTTTAGAGCAGGGTAAAACAAAATTAAATCCATACCTAAATTTCATTGAATTTGTGAAGAGCTTGGTTGAATTTAAGCTTGAAGCTTTAGTGGGTATTGTTCTTATATGAGAAGAAATACTAATTAAGAACATTACAATTAGTTTATAGAGCATAGGACATGTTCTCACATAAGGGAGGTGTTCTTACTAGAGCTTTTCACTTAATTTGTAGTTTTATTATATTCTTCCAATTTTACCTTGAGTTGTGCATTAAATTGTTTGTCTTTGTTCCACGAATGAAGAGTTTTGTAATTTTGGAGCTTGATCCAATGGAATGCTCCAACCTTCTCTTTAAAAAAAAATTGTGAGTCACTGTTTATGCTAAATTTCGTACCTAGGATTTGATGTGAGATACGGGCTACAAATCAACTACATTAAAATAAAGAATATTTAATGCGGAAAGTAAATGATGGAAAAATAAAGAAAGAGAGGGGAGACACGATATGGTGACGCGGAAAACCCCGATAAAGGTAGGTAAAAACCGCGGGTGGCAATGAGGCCACCAATTCACTATAATACGGGCATAAAGCCAATAATTACAAGTACAATGTGTATTTGATGCATATAAATTACAATGTAATCTGTGGTTTATATACACGGGTGTACAGTGCTCATCATACACCCGGATAAATAAAAAAAAGGCGGAAAGAACATCCTGTGTTTCATAAAGAACATACATGTATTTGACAAAGAACATGGTTGTATTTGACAAAAACATGCATTACCAAAGAACATAAAGATATAATAAAAAGAACGAGATAAAAGCTTGATAAAATTTTCTGAAAAATTACACATTATTAACGGGAAAAATTTAGAAGTGATAAATAATCGAGTAGGGCCGGGCCATATCATAATTTCTCGTGCTCAAACCCGTAGAAAAGTAGCGGGTTTTCGGGCTTTTTTCGAACCCGGATCGAGTTTTAACTAAAAATGCATTTTTAGGTTTGCCCAAACCCACCCTATTTCGGGCCGAATCGGGTC